ACGAAATGTGTGAAATCAGGTAAATAAAATTTGCAATGCATTCAATGTTTTCAGTGTCAAAATAGTTTTCACGTAAAATGTGTTGGTTTGAATGGTTTGAGTGATGAAGCTTTTGAAGTGACACGTGGTTTCGATAGTTTTAAATGGTTTTGTGATATTTGTCTGAAAAAGTTATGCAACGTTAAAACTCTCTCTAATATAGTCAGTGACAACAATGATGAAATAAACTTAAAAGTCGAAAAAATTATTGAAAGGAACGGTTTTCTAAAAAATGAACTTAAATTGTTAAAAGAGATGTTGAACAGTAACAGTGCAAAATTAGATAGCCCTGATAGGCCTGTTAGCAAGTTATCTGCCGAGATCAGCACATTCAAAAGTGATTTGAAATCTTCTTTTGCTACTGTTGTTGGCCAAGAAGTGAAGAAAAACATTGAGTGTGTCAATCTGGATGTTAAAACGGTTAAAAGAAAATTAACTGAGCAATCGATATAAAAGACAGAGAAAGAAATATAATAATTTTCAATTTACAAGAAGGTGAAGATAATAAAATTCGTGTTAAAAATATTTTGTTAAAATTGTCTGATGATATAAAAGATTCCCATATAAAATATGTTACAAGACTTGGAAAGAAAAATGAATCGTCCATGCGCCCAATATTGATAGTGTTGGATAGTTTGATGTCTAAAGAGACTGTAATGAGAAATGCACACAAATTAAAATTAATGTCGGCGAACTGAGTAAAGTCTGGATTAGCAATGACCTGACACCTGAGCAGAGAAGTGAATTAAAAAAACTGGTAGCTGATGCAAAATCGAAAGAAGCGGCATGCAAAGACAATTTTTTATACAGAGTCAGAGGTCCTGTGGGAAGATGGCGGATTGTGAAGTTCAGAAATTAACTGATGAGGGTGTTGTTGATGGGAAGGCCAATCGGAGGATGATTCATACTACAGCCCAAAAATTAACCATGAAAAATTACAATGATTATGATTTAAAAATTGGCCTGGGCCTCCCCAACATAAGATCTATAATGTCAAAGTATGAAATGGTGTGTGATATAATTCGTGGAGAATTGGATATTTTTGTATTAACTGAAACATGGCATGGGTCGTCAGATGAGTTTGCTGTTCGATGCGCGATGCCCCCTGGTTGTAAGTTTGTAGATTACGTTAGACCTCACGATCCATATCATGGCGGAATTATAATTTATTTCAAGAAAGAGTTCATTTATAAACCTGTTGAGTTACCCGCCGTGATTACTTTTGAAGCTGTTGCAATTAAATTGAGAGTAAACAAATCTGATTTTATTTTGTTATCAATTTATAGACCTGGATCGGTTCCTCCTTCACCATCGTTCTTTTCAGAGTTAGCGAATGTTTTAGAAGTTTTATCACTGTTAAGTGAGGAAATCGTTGTTGCGGGAGATTTTAATGTTTATATGGAGAGGAAAGATGATCCAAACACAGTCTCATTGAATGATGTTTTCGATTGTTTTCAGTTGGTTAACAGAATTAACGAACCAACGCATGAATTAGGTGGTGTTTTGGACTTGATCGTTACTTTTTGCTCTTTTCCTATCTTTAATAGTTTGATTTTTCCCAGTGGAGTGTAATCAGATCATGGTTTAATCCAGGTTGTTTGTCAATCAATCAAGTAT